GTGCTTATGTGTATGGATTTACTGAGCTTTATTTGGTTTTAATGTGTTGAAAGTTCGTAGACCCGCATCGGAACGAAAATATACGTGGCCCGTGTTCTCTGGAGGTCGTTAACCCCATGCGTGAGCTATTTTATAATTGTGTTACATTGCGTGCTGCACAAAAATATATTTTTATTATTTTATTCTATGGGCATTCACCAAATTTTATTTTTAAGAATAGTCCCAGTTAGATATATCCATAAACTAGAAAAATAAGTCGATGCCAATCGAGCTCACAGTACTTTCCTAATTATACGCATAAAGAAAACACGCGTTTGATTGTGTCGTCATAACATTTCATGGTCTCACAAAGTACAATACAGTATAATCCGTACTGTATTATTATAATAACTAGAGGTCCCGCAGTAGTCGAAATTCGACTATAATTAATTGGAATTGTAAGTTTGTACACTATTATGATTGTATTTTATACTTCTATAATCACAAATTTCGCCAAGACTACACTTTAAATAATATTAATAAAGACAAACAATATTTAATCTATTCTGTTTGCCCACAGACGTCAAGAACAAAAGTTTGACAATAAATAGTATGCATGCGTGTGTGCGTCAAATACATGGTATGTAGTGTGTGTAATGTTTTCTTTATTGATTTAACGTATCTTTTAAGCATTATTTAAAAAAAAAATTAGCATTGTGTACTTCTTCTCTATATTCTCTATAAGTGTGGAAAATTTCATACTCTTCCGTCCGCGCAATTTTCGTAAAAAGGAATACAAAGTTTTTACTTCACGTATTAATATATAGATAATATTAGGAATGCGAAAGTAATTTTAATTGTTTCTAACGGCATTCACGTCTTGACAAATCCACCGATCGCCACGAAACTTACAAAAATGTTTTCAGAGGTACAGAACATACTACGGAATTCTTTTTTCTACATTTAAACGAGCGAATCCGCACGCAGAAGCTATTTGAAAATAGTGTTTGAAAATTTTGCCGGTAAAAACATAAACTTGTTGAAATTCTATGATATAAAACGTTATCTGGATGTAATTTTGTATTTTTTTATGGAAATTCCATTTTTATAACATATTTCAGTTTGATAGAAAATGTTTTGTGACTCGACACGTTTGTTTCGCCTCTGTACAATAATTTCACTTTATCGAACCGGTAGGTTTCTTGGACGTTAATTGTGTTTTATTTGTACGATCGAATATTTTTGTTTTCCAATTCAGATAACCGTCAACTGTTTCTACTAAATCTAAGCCCATCAATCTTATGAGTAGATATTTTGACAATGAAGATGACATCCTTCTTTGTTCCTGCGAATTTTGCAGCGTCTTATGCCTTTATTAGGGGAATGTGATTGAAAAATTTTACGCATCTGAAGTTTTGTAATGTTTCCGCATGAAGTTTGTCGCGGGGAGACATGCGAAAAACGAGACCATTTAAAAAAGCAGATTGTCAAACAAGCCGTAATTGGCATTTGCTTTTGATATGGCGTATTATAAACTGGTACCGTATTATAGATGTTTATTTCTGCCGCGACGCAGTCACATGCTTCGGTCAGATTGCATGAAGTCATCAAGTGACATGATCCTGTGATGCCTATGGGTTTGGGTAACCAGTTAACTCCCGGTGGGTCGTCCATTCGTCAGAGAATCAAATACTTCCAGATTGGAGTACTATAAAATCATAAGCTTTTTAAAAACGAGATCTCATTTTAGAAAAGTCTACTTCGTTTACTTACTAGTTCTGTAAAAGAATAAATTACATTCACAGTTTTGTAAACTTCTTCTTAATTTTTATTTTATCCTACCTATGCTGATAGCCTTGAGAGGCTATTTCAGCGTAACCTTAACTAGTAGGTGAACTCACGGGGCTCAAACCTGACGACGTTGCTAACACGAACCCTAGCAAGAGCCGTGCTTTGCAGAATCTTCTACCACTGGATCGGTAACGCAACCCACTGAGAAGATCTGGCGAGAAACTCAGTGGGCTGTGTCTGTGGGTTAATTTACTCGTCGAGCCCTTCGTCGCGAGCGACGGATTCGACGAGAACGATGACCGGGGCTTGAGACGCCTAAAAGCACCGTTAGTGGATCGGGAGGATCCGAAATAACGTGTTAATTTTTCAAAGAGCTACTATATTCATTGGAAGTAGTACGAAGTAGTTTTGACGTTACTTATTTGAATGTTATTAGGGTTGGCATGACGAGGTTTCTTGTTTTATAACTTGTTTACTGAAGAAGTGATTTCACAGCGGCTTCTAGGGATATGAAATTCGGAAACATTGGATTGATAAAACCTCTTCATTTGCCTGCGACAAATCAATTAGTTGTAATTTCCCAAGAGCAGCCTGAAAATCAGCCTGATAGCGATCAAGAAATCGGTTCCAAAGAACTAGGTTTGAATCTGACAGATGCGGAGATGAAGCAATTCAAAATCTGGCCACAGGGAGTGATTCCCTATTTGATTGATGTTGATTCATATAAAGGTATTTTTTCATTCCCTAACTTTTCAATAACAAACTTCGAAATTGGAGGTGCTCACCTAATTATTAAAAAAAAGTAGGATACATTTAATTCTTACAAACTTACTTCAATTTATCATAAAAAATACTAGAGCAACTTTTTTTTAAATTTTCCTAGTTAGACCAGTGACATGATCCTATTTTTTAAAAGTTACAAATCCAGAAGAGTATTCTTAAATTTTCTTGACAAATAGGTACTTTTGTTGCGTCAGCAGAATCGCTTGGGAAGCAGACTTCAAAATAGAATAAAAAAAACCGAAGTATGAAATTCGAACATAATATTAACAGAAAACACTGATCCATTTGAACAAACCTGTTAATGGAACAGTTTTATGAGTACATATTTTAATTTCACGGTGACATTCCTTTTTGTTCCTGTGACCTTTACAACCTCTTTTGTCTTTATTAGTGGATATTTCTGGAACATATACTAAGAACGCGTTGAGAGCAATTTCTTTCCAACCGTATTGTGTATGCGAATTTGTATGCCGCTGTGAAGTATCTATATTCAGCAGTGGATCTCTAGCTATGGTTGATTATGAAATGTTTTCCATTTAGCCAGTCCACAAATAAGTCCGGTGTTTGTTGTTAATCTTTATTCCGATTTTAAATCACGCAGACAAAGTTCTTCGAGATCGAATACGCAATTTCCTCAATGACGTAAACAGTCTAACACAGATTAACTTTATTGAATTACCAAGTCCCCCGTCTGATAACGACACTAGATGGGTTTTCTTCGTCAACCGACAAGGGCTTTTGGGTTGTGGTGATCATTCAGTAAGCAATTTTACAACTAAAGGAGTACAAGTGAGTCAGAATGTTTTATATACTTTGGTAAAATTAGGATAATCTCAAATTTACCGCAAGATTTTGCACACGAATTATTCGATTATTATCCCCTTATGCATAACAGTGCTCATAGCCTTCACAACTTACACGTCCTTGGAACTTCAGCTCATTTCCAGAATTATCTCTAAATAATTGCTATTTTAAGCTAAGTAAGCTATTTTACATTTAATGTTCCTTAATTAAAATTGAAAACATGATGTGAATTCAAACGGTTCATAAATTTTTCCCAGCACGTAACACTCGGATATGACTGTTTGTCCACAAAAAATGATTTAGCAGAAGCTGTGTTGTCCATTCTTGGGGTTCCAGCTCAGCATAACGCACCAGATCGAGATAAATATATCGAAGTTGTGACTGATAATATAAATCCAGGTAAACTAAAGCATTACACTCTCTTCGTTATAGTTGAGGATAATAAAATTTGTGAAAGGCTTTAGGAAACCACTAACTATCCACCAGGGTCCTAGTCCGTAGTACATTCATAGTTTATGTGTAATGTTAAGTGTACGCGTGTAGTGTGTAATGTTAAGTGTAATGGAAATGTGTATTTTGAACGGTTGAAACATGACAGGGTTGGATATTGAGGGTATATACCAATTTTCTGAATAAAAACGTACCTAAAATATGATCACTACGAATTCAATAATCAAGCCTGCAGAATTTTTCAATAATAATATCACTTGTATGTGTTCTTTTGTGGTTTTGGAAGTACCATTGTTCTATCTACTTGTACCTAGACGTAGTCATGCGTTTGATTAGAAAAGTTGGACATCGTAACATCGGATCGGGAGGTAACCTCTATTGTGGCAGCGACGAGGGTTCCACAAAAACAGACTCTCGCATAAAACCAATTTGAGTAGAACATTAGTGTTTCCGAACGTTGCAAGGCACAAATTCCGAATGCCATAATCATTTTTATGAACGGTTAAGTTCATTAGATTCTTGTTCGCAAATTTCAGATAAAAGATACCTGTTTAATAAAGTTAACGATAAGGATTGGCTATTTCATAAAGCTGATTATGATTTTGAAAGTGCCAGTCACTTCGACACTCATAAACATTCTGCCAACGGAAAAGCAACTATTCGAATTAAGGTAATGTTTGTTAATAAATTAATCACCTCAGTCAGCTTATATTATTTGTTTTCGAGAAATCAGTAGCAGTTCATTTTTCCTCAGGACAAAAATTTGAAATCACAAAGTACCGAAAATAATGGTCTAAGTAGTGGCGATGTCCTTAAACTAAAAATGTTGTACAACTCCATCATTTCGAAGAAAACACCAAGCCTGGATGAATGCAGAAAGCTTTTTTTCCATGGAACTACATTAAATAAGCAAGAAAAGCCCTTGAATGATATTACCAGTGTTAATAAAACCGTTAAAGTATATAAACAACTTAAGCCTATTATAAAAAAAGTTAATTCCAACAAAAAAGGGAAGAAAAAAGAACTATATATAAATTTTTCCGACGAAACACATACTCCGGTATCGGAAAATTCTGATTATCAAAGTCACAGTAATGATGATGATATTAATCATTATTGAATGACATTTTTTTAGTTATATCACGGCTAATCAGATTGAGAGGGTAAACCAAAAGAAATGGGATTATAATTTGTTTAATAAAAATAATAAACATTAAATACATAATTATCTATCACATTAAAGGCATGTTTGTATGTTTCGTTTTACGTTGCATGTTTCACATATAACTTCGCAGCACCATTTGAATTGGCAGTTGCAGTTCTCCGTTTCGTTAATGGTTGTTTCCACGTAGCCTCGTCGGCAGCACATTTGATCACAACCGTCGGTGCCGGCAGAGCTGATATTGCACTGTCTTCCCTGGGTGCCTAGAGAGCCAGTCTTCAAATTTGGCGCACAAAAGTCCGGCGATTCTTCTGAGTAGATAATGTCTTTCTTGCCTGGCTTCTTTATGCTCGGGCTCTCTGGCATGAAGCTGTCACCGTCGTTGCTGGCAATCACCTGATACAAAAACGATGTATTAACTTCTAGTAAATTGTGAGTTAAAAAAAAATGTAAAAATGGTGAGGTAAAAATTTGTAGACCTAATAAATAATATTTAGTACAAAAATGTATTACGCATGTATTTTATTACTGAAATCCGATTTCATTTCAATTTTATGCTTATTCGTTTGGTATTTGTCGTTCATCACACAAAGACTACTAAAAATATGCAGCGAAATAGTTTGACAAGTTAGATGATTTAAGCCGTAAATGCTCCAATGATTAATTGGTAACCACTTTAGACCAGATAGCCTGTGAGTTCGTCTGCCCATGTCATAGCGATATGTACTAAATTAATCCTATCTCGTAACAATAATGAGGGCCGCTGAACTGTTTACAGAGAAATACACCAATAATGGAAAAATTCATACTAGACGTTATTCTTGCTTTCATCCGTGTTAATTTTGTATTCGCAATAACTAGAACATGCTTCAATTTTCTGGATAAAAGATCATAAATTACAATTGTGCATATAGGTATATTTAGATCCATCGGGACTAAGAAAGTAAACCAATAAACATACCGTTGTAATTATTATGGCAAATATATTCGTTGTCGTCCATGTAAAAGGATCTTATTGGAGTTTACTCCTTTAGAATCGATTTACATATATAGGCCCGGGGTATGAAAATTATGGGGACCAAAATCGTACTAGCATGTCACACGAAATGCGTTATGCGTCTGATTGGCTCCTGATTGCGTGATGCGTGCGCGCGCCAATCAGGAGCCAACGCGCGGCCGCGTTATCGCAGGTGACGCCGGGCTGCTGCGCCGGCAGTCCGCCACAAAGCCTCGTACTGATCGCGCGTTTCTCTCATTATTGTATTTTCATATATTTGTTAGTCGTTTGTTTTGTGTCTCGTTAATTTGTTAATAATCTGTAGTGTATCGTGTTGTCGTAATATAGAACTATTTCTCGTATTGTTTCGTTTAATTTTTTATATCCAGTAAACTCCAGTCGTGCGTCGGAGCGGACACACACACTTTTTTTATTTATTCCAGTTATAATCATAGTATGTGCGATATTTCATTCTAATCTAATTCTAATTCCGCCATTTTTGCTTGATTATGAAACGTCAATAGGCCGAATGAATAACAAAAAAAAACAATTAGGAAAGACTCCATTAATCAGTCACCTTAGCGGCACCTTCAAATCTGTCACGCAGTCTATCTCCTACTTCCCTGAATGTAGGCATTCTCCACCAGCAAGTCCTTAAGGTACAGGAACCGGAAAGTCCGTGGCATTTACACTCTATCTTCATATTGTTCTTAATGGCCTGTCGAAGAAAATAGTTGCTGTTACATATTATTTGGACCATCTATGGTAACGTATAAATATATACATACCTATATTATTGATGTTTTAAGAAATAAACTATGTATGAGATGATTATGTCATCATCTATTCACCATAAAATACCATTTGAGCAGAACTCTTTCTTTACTATTACCATCCTATTAGTCGAGAGGATCCCCCAAAGGGCATCTAGAGATAAGTTGTAACATTGTACTTAAACTCTGTGATTGCAAGTAAATACTTCAAGATATACTTTTTAAATTTATACGACTTTTATTTTGTTACGACCAGGAATCGAGAAAAATAATCAGCAGAACTTCCTGAAAATATACCTATTTTGGTTGTGGTTGACAAGTTGACGTCTACCAAAAAATTTACTAACCAACCTCCCAGCGTTGTGGTTATGTAGTTTGATGAGAGTTTTAATGTCGCTCCGTTTCCTGTAGCGGCTGTCCATGAATTCTCTGGACTTCTTGAGGCCAAACCGTACGTTGTCACTGCATCCGCCCCATTGCCATTTGTTCTTGGACTCTTGTGTCGGCGGTGGATCCACCGGATCATGACCACGGCGAGGTTTTGGTATGCCCTTATAGAAGTTTTAATTACAGTGAAATTCTAAATTTACCAATCTCATTGGACGGTTTCCTCATTTTTATGAACAATCGTGATAATATACGTTTTTATAATAATTCAGATAAAAGGAGATGGAACAGAACTTGCGATGGGAATTTATAAAAGGGAACTGTATAGGTAGGCAGCGGCTTGGCTCTGCCCCTGGCATTGCTGAAGTCCATGGGCAACGGTAACCACTCACCATCAGGTGGGCCGTATGCTCGTCTGCCTACAAGGGCAATATAAAAAAAATAATAAAATAAAAGTGAGATTTGCGTATTATAGACTGTATACTAGGATAGTATAGTATAGTATAGTATGGGAATAGTATAGTGAAGGATAGTAATACCTTTTCGCAGGAGCATTCCAGAAGAGACCCAGCAGTACAAGCTCTTGTGATGGAGAAGGTGACACCAGCCGCTGTTATGGCGTTCACGAAACCAGTTTCTCTCGTATCTGTTTTAAAAATACAACTAATATACTTGGCCTGTATTTCATTAACAGTTTTCAAAGGTTGATTGGCATGATACGCGATTGATTCATCTTTAGCTTGAACTTTTTTTATTACTACACAGCTCACGACCCACCTGGTCACAGAAGCTTATAGATATCATGACGTGAAGGTCGCTACGCTAAGTTTCAATTATGTAACGGCTGCATCGTCTCAAAAGCCGAATGCATTACTGCTTCGTGGTAAACGTGGCCGAAAACCGACCCGTACGCCCTCACAAATAAAAGACGAAATATATATTAAGAAAAACGATTTAATGAAGTTACATACATGGGATATAATCATTTAGAATAACTGCTACATTTTATTAGCTTATACGGTACACACGCTTACAATGTTCATCCCGCAAAACAATACAGACTATTTCACGCATCGCGCCGACTTTATCGACGCGTCGGATTCGGTGCGGTCATCTGAGGGCTTAGAACTGAAACGAGCTAAACGAAACATAAAGCGTAAACGTACTCGAACACAATGTGAAGCTGTTGACCTAAAAATCAATATTCACACGGGCCTCGTAATAAACGTCTATGGGCTTCACGAATCGAAGGTCCCATCCATAAACATTTTGATGTGAAATACGGGCTTCGTGAACGGCGCTCATGTGGCGCAACAACGCGACCAAAGGCTAAGGTATAGGCTGAAGGATTTAACACGATGCGTCATGAATTCGTTCACCCCTAAATTTCATAACATTTATGGTTTGTTCGGTTATTGATCAGAAGACGGGAGCGTCCTATCCAGGCTTCCTCCAGCTACTGATTATTCTTGAAAATCGTCTTTAGTACCTGTACCCTAATTATCTTAACTGACTAGATATTTTTATCTGAAACCCGATTTATAATTATGTATGTACGTATTGGCGTAAAAGAATGTTCTGATTAGGTTACTAGTAGTGGTGGTGGTGGACCTCTTGTAAGTCCGCACGGATAGGTAACACCACCCCGCCTATTCTGCCGTGAAGCAGTAATGCGTTTCGGTTTGAAGGGTGCTGCAGCCGTTGTGACTATACTGAGACCTTAGAACTTATATCTCAAGGTGGGTGGCGCATTTACGTTGTAGAAGTCTAGGGGCTCCAATAACCACTTAACACCAGGTGGGCTGTGAGCTCGTCTATCCATCTAAGCCATAAAAAAAGGTTGATTCGACCATTTTTGAAACTTGATAGTTGAAACTTTTTTTTTATTGCCCTTGTAGGCAGACGAGCATACGGCCCACCTGATGGTGAGTGGTTACCGTCGCCCATGGACTTCAACAATGCCAGGGGCAGAGCCAAGCCGCTGCCTACCAATTGCTGTTTAACTCTAATCCAATAACACTGTCGATAATTTTACAATGGCTAAGAGTAAGCTCTCCTTGTATAATTTAAAAAAAAAACCTTCCGTATATGGTATTTAAAAATAATAATATTATACGTGCTCGATCTTTAACTCCAGATGTGGGAACTCTGGCATGTAGCACAAGTTCTATATTTTATTGCTTTCAATGTACGAGCTTATCATCCAGCTGATGCTAAGTAATTCGCCAAGTTCTAAAGAGAGTTGGCTAGCACGTCGTGTAAAGAGAGTCAAATACTTGTTGAGTACTAGTTCCCACAATTGAGTTTCTGATCTGCTTAATACAATGCATAATATATTAAGGTATTGTACAACCCAAAGAGCAGTGTGTCACGTCTTAACAGGCACCTTGCTATAACAATTAATGGCAGGTCAACTGATGTCTGATGAATATTCACAGTGCATGTATAATGTGAAAATTGCTGCACCATTCTCTCGCTGAATATGCGTTGGACATCATCCACGCTTTGTTACAGCGGGTCGATGACCTGATACATTTCAAAACATAGTATCATATTATTCAGTCCATTTAATATTTTTAGAATTGGCTTTTGATGAATGAAGTCTAGATATAGGCTCACAAATGCGATAGTTGGTGCCCTAGGGGGCATTGGCTGTCTCCAAAACTGAATGCATGACTATTTCACGACAGACATAGGCCCAAAAGCGGTATCTCTCTTGCGGACCTCACAATCTACCCCACTCGAGTAAATTAGGTTTTATAATAAATATCGAAGTTTTAATTGTTTTGTTGTAGAATGTTATTCTTGAATCGTGGAAGTTGTTTGTGAACAAAATATGATGGATTTGAGTCTGGGAAAAGTCACTCGATACATGTGTCGCCCTTTAGGGCATGGAGACTTCAAACACAAATGAATTCAACAAATTCCGTTCTTAAAAATCTTGCCCTTAATACTGAAACACATCATCGCTAAGTGGCTAAGAGTGATAAGATTTTTCGATAGACAAATGAGGTGAAGGTCTTTGAAACCGGTACACATATTAAAAAAAAAAAAATGAGCATCATTACTACTACGAGTGTGTTAACTTAAGATGTATACTGTTCATCTACGGTAGTACGTGTGATGAACGTTCATTATGTACGAGATTAGATAAGCGGTGTGCTTGCGCAATGCGGAGCAGTTGACAGGAGATCGGCATCGGCCGTGCCTATCGATCCCATGCTAATTGGGCCCGTATGCACTGCGACGGGCATATCTTCGCCGCATTCCCGCCATCCCGCCAACCCGCCACCCGTCCAAAGAGATACAGCAAAATTTATTACACGAACAATTTATATAATTGACGTGCGACAAAAAAGCGAGAGTGCACACCCATCCAGGCCAGATTCGGATCCGTAATTACGTCTCGTCACAGCCCGTCGACGCGCAATTTTTATAGGTATTTCTGGTCGAATTTCTGTTGAGCGTTCGTCCTCTGATTTTATGAAAGGAATGCCAATTTTAAGATTTTTCGCTATCGGTCTGAGGAATGCCGAGGGAGTGGGAGGCTCGGCTGCAGCTTGGGAACGGGCCCGCCCTGCGCATGCCGCAGTTTTTCTGCGACGTTGCGCTGTCGATAGAGCACCGCAGCCGCGACACTCGCTCGTCATTATAAATCCGCGGCGGTGAGCTCAGAGCCACGCATTCCGAGCGCTCCACCCGTGTTATGCGCTGTAATTATCGCAAAACTCGGTCCCGACTCGAAATATGTCGTCGGGAACGGAGGACATGACGTTCTCATCACCGAAACTTTGTATATATTGTTTTTTATCGGACGTTTACCTCAAAATATGTTAAGCTTCGCAGTCTGCCCGACGTCGACCGCCACCAATATTTTGGTGCGTCGGAACTGTCCTTTTTTGCGTCCGATGCCACGAGAGCTTCTGGAATTCGGTATTCGTGTCCTTTGAATTATTCAGTGAAATTGTCGATCGATCAATAAAACCGATGGAATCAAATCGATTCACACTTGAAGCTTGCAGGACTTCAATAACTCGAGGTTTTTGCGAGATCAAAATACTTGGAAGTCGTTCCGCCACTCAGCTCCAGTCAATCACTCGCACGTGCGATAGCTACGTGGGCATCTCATGAAAATGCTGCCAACGATTTTCTCGTGAATAGTTGGAACCTGATTTTGTATTAGCGGGCCGCGAGCATAATGTCTGTACTTTATTGAGACGTAGCATACGACACGAATATGAATGTCGAAGAGATGGCCATGCGATCAGTTATGGAAGGAAATATGTAATTAATTATCTTGAGTCTAGTTTGCTGACAGCATAGGATTCTTTTTGCTCGTTAAAGCGATTGAGCACTGATCTATTGCCTGTTGAGTTCGCTGTCTTGATTATGACATTTGAGTATTAAATATAGTTTGATGAGCTTTCTGTTACGATTAATTGAAAACGTTTGCATTTCATCACTTCACATCTGGTATTTTCGAACTGCGCTTGTGAATAAGAGCTTAAGGATGAATACGATAGTATCCGCATCGAATACATACAATATTTACTAGCTTCGAAATGCATTCGAGATATCGATTAGCGGCCGTAGAACTAGTATAATATTCAAGTGCTATAAGTAGTCGTTTAAACATTAATCACTAGTAATAATCCCATAAATTATGTTGATATACCTTCGCGAGGATGCCTTCGGGACACGTCAAATTGAGAAGATAACGCGGGCGGACGCGCGATCATCTCAAGCCCATATGTGAAATTGCTGAGAATTTTGCAATTTTAATTTTATTTATAACGAACTGGCACAAGGCACGAGAAAAGTGAGATTTTTCAAACAAAATGTAGGTTTTGACAGTTATATAAATAGAAATCATTATCGCTTTAAAGCTATGGAAGGAAGTCTTCTAAACCTGCATGGGTGAGTTGGTTTCACCCACACAATTGGGAAATATTGGCACTGGTAGAAAATTCTGCTATTTCTGTCAAGAATCTATGACACGCTCTAGTTACAATAGTAGTTCAACAGTTGTATTATAATAATCAGAACCCCCTTGTATCTGAAAGGGGGCAAGTATGATCACGTCTTTCATTCTTCTGCTTAGTCACATTATATTTATGGCTATAAGTCTTGTCTCTAAAATGCCTTCGATAATAATATTCTTTTTTGAGGTCGGTCGTCTTAGAATCCAGTGAAAGTTGTTGTTTTTATCTGGCCTTCTTATTTACAAAAATAATGTTAATTATGTATTAATAAAATAGTAGTTGATTAGTGGTGCTAAGTTGTAGATGACTTATGGTTTATTCTTTTTTGGATTACGCTACATCTGAACAATTGTACCACATCGCATATCGAACGGACGTTCCCGCTAGATACTGATAAACTGAAACTCGCTTCTCGATACGGATCGGAGTCGTCGTCTGAGGCGACTTTAAATTAACTGTTCACGCACTTCTGTTCAGGAATTTTAGATTTGAGATGGATGCGAGCGCTCGCCCGATCTGTACACAGCCGGTGCGCTTAATAAACACATGATTTTGTATTATCGACGATGCTCATTAAAAAAGAACGACTTATTACCATAACGAAGATTGTCATTGCGTGCAAAATGAAGGTAGGTTTCTTTTTGTTGGTTTGTTGGAGTTTGTT